CATGACACCCATCCCTCTGGACGTATGGTATTTGATACCAAAGCATTTATCTTAGCGCTGACCGCATTGCCTCCGCATGTGGATGCGTTGGTCATCCACATTAAGCTAAAAGCAAGACTCATCACTAAAGAGTACCGACTGCCATTCAGCATGGCTCATCAATGTTTTCTCGCAGCACGTCTGCATCCCTGTAATCAGGCGGCATACAGCCGTTTTCTAATGGTACTGGGACTCAGAGAGTGCTGTAGCGGAACTTAAGGTTTAATTAATATCTGTTTTCTAATCAGTGTTCCTGAAATGTTGCTGGGCATGTCGTGAATACGTCTTTTGACAATATCGGCAGACAACGAAACTTTAATTCAGTTCCTTAAATTCATTGGGCCCAGACATAAATCGAACAATTTCCATGCAGGCTGGCTTAATAAGTGTTTCGCCGATAGTATGTGGTCTTTTCTGAGGTGTAATTAATTTTGCAACATGGTAGCTAGCTTCTAAGGCCTTTTGAAAAACCGTAACGGCCGATTTTCATAAATTGCTCCTGTTTTTGATTTTGCTCTAAGCGCCTCTAAAAATATTGTCTTTTTTTAGCGAATTCTGGAATGGTTTAAATTTAGATGGCGATGTAGTTTACTGGGTGCCATTGCCTCATTTGATAGCGGATAGCCGCAGATGATGTAGTGTGGCTTTGGAGCCGTTTTGTCACTACACCACGAGAATCCATATTAAATGTAGTCTTCGCTGTACTTCCTTTTCAACATTTTCGTTTTTTTTTTCCCCCCAACACTTGCGTTCTTCATCATCTGTACGTGAAGACGAATCTTTTCCACGTAAAAATTTATCCATATTTAAAGGAGTAAAAAATTAGATATGAATCACACGAAGAACGTTAACTATACACAATTCAGCAACACAACTAATAATAATCTGGCGACTTCGTAGGGACTATGTCGTAGGCTATGGGATTTATTATTTCAGAGAAATGACACATAAAATTATGAAACTTTTAAAGGCTCTTTACGCGAATATTTTATTGCACTTATTCTCGTTATTGTGTTTCTAAGAAGGACAGTTGAAATATTATTAAGTTAGAAAATTGTCTTACTTGACCGCGTCGCACCTGTATCAACTCAAGGCACAGCGGTTGCGGAGCACTGGTTACCGGTATATATCACTATTCAGCGGCTTTGGTCTTAAGTCAACAGCTTGTTTTTGTCATGGTGCCATTAGTTATTGCAGCACATTGGACAGTATTAAAGCATTGTATGTTCATTAGCGGGCACTTGCATGCGAATAAATGCTCACAAACGGCCAAGTATCCGAACACTGGTAGTCAAACCCGGGTTCGAAATCCAGCAAACGGGCTGGCTGCATGGGCGTTTTCATGGTTTTTCCCAGTGCAACGGGAAAACGAGCCAGCTCCCTTTAAAAGATCCTCCACGAAGGCACCTCTGCCTTTAGGCAGATAACCCTGTTATGATAATCAAATCAAACAACCAAAACCAAACCATGCGAACGGTTAGTAATTGAGCTCTGTCACACTTACCTTGAACAAATAAAGGTAAAATTAAATATCCTTAAAGTCAGTTGGCTGTTTTCAAATTTAATTTGCTAAAACTCATTCACCAAAAATCTGAAAATTTCCTTTTACAATATCATTGAGTCATGAAGATGAGTTATGCAATTACAGTCACAGTTATAAACGGATTGGCAACCTTTTTTATTGAGAGGATCTCTTTCAGAAAGTTCGGCGGGCACTGTAATAGTGATGAAATGTAGTTCCACATTACATTCTTATACCAATAGCTACACTTGAATTGCATAATAAGCAAAGACATTTTTCTTTACACTAAATGACACAAAGTTGTTCTTCCCACTCAACATGAAAAATGATGCGTCTTCTGTTTCTTATTTCTTTTTTTTTCCATGGTAATGGGGGCAGAAAATAGTTCGCTGTATGCGAAATCAGATGTTTCTAGGAGTAGAAAATTGATTCCTCTAATCATGTAGTGTTATCTAGATGTCAAGATTCAGTTTTTGCCATAAGTTAAATTCTACAATAACAATTGTTAAAATGGCAAAGATAAAATAATATTTTTTGCTAAAATTATTCACTACAATTACAGCTAATTGTTGTCCAAATATCTAAAATTTAGAACTTAGATATTTGAAAGGGGACATTTAAAAATTGCTTCGTGGGCACCATGTTGCTGACCCCTGCTATAACGTGTAACTTAGTTGAGATATTAGGAATTTTTGGAAGCAAGAGCTGTGAAAAATTAGCAATGCCCTCGCCGGGACTCGAACCACGGACCTCTCGAATACGCGCCCAGCGTGCTGACTACCACTACACCACGAAGGCATGCTAAGAATACCTTATATGCTCTCCCTTTTAAAGGGCAACTGGAGATTAGAGGACACAATCGACAAATCCTGGTAGTGGAGAATCATCATCTACCACCTTTTTTAATTCGGGTTCCACTGTAGAGACATTAGGATTTTTTCGAAGCAAGAGATGTGAAAAATGGGCAATGCCACTGCCGGGACTCGAACCACGGACCTCTCGAATACGCGCCGAGCATGCTGACCACTACACTACGAAGGCATGCTAAGAAGGCGGGAGAAATACCTCATAACTTATCCAGCTTTTAGTCCTACCAAATAACTATACTTCTTTTCCCAGGCAACTAGAAAAACTGTTTATTGTAAATGCTATCTCTGAAAAAAATGCATAAATTAAATATGTTATGAATCAAAATCTTTAGTAGTAAAACATTTTCACTTGGGTCAGTATTACTAAGAATTACCGTATTAGTCGGTGTATAAGACGCAATTTTTTTCTTTGAAAACAGATCTGAAAAACTGGGTGCGTCTTAAACGTCGATATTCAGTTCATTCGGAGATATGCGACATTTTTGTTGTTTCCTTGCGGAGCGTGGGAATACTACAGTTACGTAGAGTTCAGTAAATGTGCGTGCGCTGTCATCGACGATCGCAGCTAGGTTCGTTTAAACTTTCCAGCTTTTGTGAACGACTTTTAAGTGTGTGAAATTTTTACTGTTCAATTTGCTCAGATTTGTTGGCAAGTTATGGCTCAAAAACAACCTCGACATTACTATAACATAGCATACAAGCTATGTGTGATCGCGCATGCTAAAGAACATGGAAACACGGTTGCAGAGTTGCATTTCGGGCCACCTCCAACTGAGAAAATGATAAGAACTTGGCGGAATCAGGAAGAGCTAGTAAAGCTCTGGATGGTACAGAGCAGTGCTTCTCAACTTTTTTGGTTCGCGGACCGATGGTTTCCCCCTCCCTCCCCCCAAAATTTTTACAAGGTATTCAAGAACTACTACATAAGTTAATTGTAATATTCTTATTACCATTTGCCTACAATCATATTTAAATATAAAGATAAGTAAATATTGTAATTATTACATATCAGTATAATTACCATATATATAAGTAAATAAATATTTGAGAAAAATCACACAATATTACAAAAAAATAATCACAAAAACCCTTGCATATAAAAACGGATCAGTGATGGTCCCTGGACAAGCGAATCAGGATCCCTTATCTACCATACCTGAAGCGTCACTTGTCAACCTCTTCTCGCCCTCAAGTGGCAACAACTGAAATAATCAGAATTCATAATAATGCTTTCATTGGAAAGACTCTACAAACAACACATTCAGGTTTTGGACAAATTTCTTCTGATTGTGGCCAAAGGACCAAACCATATTTCAAATAGTCTGCGATATAGTGCCTTACAAAGCTTTTCCCTTTTTTTTTTGGCAGATTGTGGACTATATTCACCTTCATCTATATTCGAAGTGGCGGACAACGTACTTGATTTTGGACAATCCATTCTTTGCACAAAATTTAGTAATGTGCCTTTTGTTTCCTTCTTACTCATCCTGGTTATTGATTTTTAATCTACCGAAAGTTACAGAAATAGTAGTTAGTTATAGCACAGTATTAAATTCAGAAGTTATTAAAAGCGTGCAAGATATTCAGCATACTCAAGTAATCAGCGATACTCTAGGCAGACAGGGGCACACTCATTGGAGTACTAAGTGCACTGCACGGCAATTTTTGAAAGGCGATTAGGTACATAGTTGCCATTTTGTTATATTCTTCATCATCGATCATTATTTTCTAAACTAGTAAACTATTGTTATTGTAATGTAGGTGCAGTTGTAATATCAGTTGTCGGCCGATGTCACTTTGGGTTTTGGACAGATATTTCGCGGACCGGCGTTTGAGAAACACTGGTACAGAGAACAATTTGTTATCCGAGTCCTCATACGCTGATTTAGAAGTTTCAAGTGGCTCTTCGTTTAGCCCTGAAGATGAGTGTCTGGGTTTTGACGAAGATTAAAAGGTGTTCCTTCCCAGACAGATTGGGTGTTTGCAGAAAGAATTACTTTGTATTTCTTTATATTTAAAATACTGTAAATTCATTATAATGATCAATAATAAAGTTTATCCTTCAAAATGTGTATAAAAAGGGAGGGTCTATCTTATAGGCTAGTGCGTCTTATACGCCGGCAAATACGGTACTTTCCAGTAATTAAACAAATGAAAATGAAGCAACTATGATGAAAGAGTACTTTCAGCCATGGCTTAAATTCATCCAGACCCAGGGTCTGATATTCCTCAGTTTTTGAGTGAAATTGTAATTCCAGCTGGAACACCAAATAAGAAAAATTTCACTTTTAATTTATTAAACTATTTGTCAATAATTTACTCTAACTTACAAGTTTTTATTTACCTCCTTACATTTAATCTTTATTTAATTTATCCATTTTTGAGCACCTTTAGTGATAACTTTCCACAAAACTCTGCTTTCAGCATTAAATATGACAAAATACATAAAATGTAAGCAATTTTTATGTAAGAAAATACATATAAAATAACAGAAATACAGCACTGATGCTATACCTTTCATATCATATTTTTTATATTTCAGTTGAAGATAACAAATTTTGTTCTTTTAGATTCTACACATTGGAAGAAATGGCATTCAAAAACAGAAGAGTCTTCAACAGTTAGTACAAGATCATTCAAAACTGAATATTCTAGTACAAAATCACATGGAAAAATGCCTAAATCTACAAGTTATCCTACATTGTCTACAACAAAATATCAATGGAAAAAAAAGTATTCCCGAAAGCACACACCTACAAGCTATCCTAGTTTGACTACGACAGAACATCAGTGGAAAAAAAAATATTCTCAAAAGCGCACATCTACAAATTATCCTGCTTCATTTATAACAGAACATGAGTGGAAAAAAAAGTATTCTCGGAAGCAGAGTTTTAGCAATTACAAACCAGGATTTGATTGGAAAAAATGGTTATCAAACAGTTATCAGTCATCATATGACTTCAAAGATGCTTTCAGCTTTGGAAGTACTTTTGACTGGAAAAAATGGCTGTCAAACAAATATATACCTTCTAATAATAATACTAAATTTGATTGGAAAGATAAGCTGTTGAAAACTCACAGAATACCTCCAGAAGATTCCTCCAGTTCTGGAAATCATGTTGATCCAGAGAATGGGCTGTTGAAGACCCACAGACTGCCCATAATAAATTCTACTTCTGATGAAAGTGACTGGAGAAATAGATTACTTGATAAATTGTCTCCAATTGATTCCAGTACTACTGAAGAAAAATTTAAGCTGCTAAAAACGCATAGGTTACCTTCAACCAATAATGCTGAAAATTATAACTGGAAAGCATGGTTATTAAAAAGCCATAAGTGGGCTTCAACAGATTCTACCAGTTTTATAACTAAAGTTGAGAAGAAAAAGAAACACAAATCAAAGCACTTTACTACTACTAGCAATTTTACTCCCACTGAAAGTACAAAGGACAAAGAAACAAAGTCAACTAGAAGCGTTTACGATACTGAAGACACAGAAAGAAACTTGCAAGAAATGCTAGCAGATTATGAAGAAATATTACCTAGATATCAGAAGTATTATTTCAATGATGAAAACAGACAGCCATTTCTTGTTGGTATGCCCTATCATGAAAAAAATCGTTGGTTCCCAAAGTTCAATCCTCAAGACAGCTATAATTGGATGGATAGTAGAAAACAGTGGAATTATGAAGCAAATCAACCAGTTAATACTCATTTTAACATGCAAAATTGGTTTCCAGACACTGATGAGAAAGATCATTCCAGAATTTCCAAAAATGGGAAAAAATTCCCTGCCAGACACATATCAAATAGTGCCACAAAATTTGACTCAAAGCCAGACTACATGAAAAGAAACAAGGAAAAATATTTTGACTGGAAAAAACTGCTTTCATCTTATATTCCAAAAGATACTAAATACAAAGATTGGCAAAATGCACTGCCACATATACACTTACACAAAAATTTAGATGATGCCTGTTAAATTACTTGCAATGGCAGTTACTTTACTTTTAAGTATAGTCATACATAAAATTCTTAAAATGTTTCCTTTGCTTCATGCATACTAGTTTTAGCATTTCTTCAAATATAAAAAATATGTTTATTGTATGAACTAGAAGCATGTAGGAATTCTTATGGTTACTTTTACAGAGTCGTACATTCTTGAAAACATACAGCAACTGTAATTAACATGAGATTATTTACATTTGGAAAATTAAATAAAAAATAATTCTAATGTCTACAACTATGCAAAACACATCAGAAATTCTAAATCATAATGTATGCCAATCTAATACAGTTTAAAAACCTGCTCAATTTGTAATGCAATGTTGATACATAATCAATATTGTTTCAATACAATAAATACAGTACCAATTCATATGCCCGTGTGTGTATATATATATATATTGAATGACCTAAAATTCACTTAGTTTGAAAACAAGTTTTTTCTAATACTTGTGCAATAGCTGCAAAGTAAGATAATAATAATTTATATACTACCATAATTCATGCATGTGAGAATAATCATCTATACATTAATTTTTTTAATTTGTTCATTTACAAACAGCATGGTTGTTTTGTATGTAAATAAATAAAAAGGTGAAATTTTGATTATTTTATGCATAATTAAATATGAAAGACATCTTAAGAATGAGCAGGTAAGTTAATGTGGAGAGTAATCACCCACATCAGTTGTGTGATTTTATGTACAGATACTAAATACAAAGCCTTCTTCTAAAAGGACATAGACTTTGCACGAGCAGGATTCAAACAATTAACCTATTAAAAATTATTAAACAGAAAAAAGAAACTGGATATTATTCTTCTCTAAAAATATTTATTATCAAAGATTTTTTCCCTGATACATATGTTCTTGATCATGATTTTCATGATATACATGTTCTGTCATAAACAAAAAGCTTTTCAAACAGCATATGATAATCATTTAACCAATGATGGCAAAATGCAAGCCAGCAGGTAATGAGGTCATTAGCTTGGGCAGATATCAAATTATTAGTAATGGCTACATATAGCTTAATATAGTGCGACACACAGCACCAATGCATCTCAAATTGGCCCTCTTTTGAACAAAATCATAGCTCTAATACTATAATAATAGTAATGCAAATTTTGAACTAGCTAGGTTAGCCAAGAAGCCAATGCTTTGTATTAATCATAAATAAATTTCTTGACTAAAGTAAAAAGAACAGTGCCATAGGAATACTATTACCTTTAGATAAATGAACCTACTCTACTGCAGCAGCTTGTCCTGGCTACTGGAAATGACTTCAGTTTCTGACTTGGTCACTTAAGCTCCTGTGACCTATGACAACATAAGAGTGGAATGAAAAGGGAATTACGAAGTAACATACATGACTGCTTGGCATAAATTTTGCTGAGAAAAAAGAAGGCTTCAATTCATCTAATTAAAAAAATCAAGACATCTAATTTAAAAAATACATAATTTTGTCACTTGCAGCACATATGTACATTTATACTAGAGTTCCTTAAACTGGTAATTGCCAAAAATTTTAGCAGTTTTGATATTTCTTTAACTTATTATAATAACGTCACAATTACCAAATACTTTTTCACAATGTATCTGAAGATAGATAAAGCTAAGACAATACAGACAAAGGAAAACGAGAACGTTTGACGCTTTCTTTTTATAACATAAACATTCATTTTACTTGCTTTGCACGCTGTCATTTTGTCTGTTACATATTTAAAATTTTCACATTGTTCTATTTCTTAAAATTAGAAATTAAACTTAATGACTTAACTGCAATAGTATATTACAAGTGAAAAAAATTGACGGTTTCACTCACGCATATGTCGGATTTGAGCAATGCTTATGGAGTTCCACAAAGTTTTTGTAAAAATTATGGGGTCTAAGAGTCGCAAAAAATATATATATATATATATCTCAGTGATAAAAGGGGTCATGACTGAAAAAAATTTAAGAAGCTCTGATTTATATTAATTTTGAGGCTCTGTGTAATATTTAATTTGACTATTTTTCTAAATCCATGATATTATTAAAAAGCTGTTGGGAAGAGCTTGTTTTCTTAGTTTTTTTTTATGTGTTTCAATTAGTGTGATTGTAAATACAAACACATTCAGCAGTTTCAATTATTTAGTTACTACTTATGATAAACATTTCATCAAAGTGTACAGCACTGAAAATTTACATTGCAAAAAAACTGATTATTCCTTAAACATAAAGAAGAAAATAGCAGATGACAGCATAAGAATTATGTTAAAGGAAAGAAAATTAGTTTATAAAGCTTAATTGATGTAATTCATTTCTGAGCAACAACAAACTGAAATAACAGGTCACTCATGAAAGTTATGTGTGTAGAGCTGTTGGAATGTTTAGATAATTTAGATAACTTCAATTATCATTTAAATATTCACATTGTTTATAGAGGTATATCTTCTGCAATGCAAAGGTGATCTTTTTTTAATGCTAGTTTAGTGACTACAAAAATCAATATACCCAATCTCTTGCAATTTGGCTTAATGGAACAACATGTGGCAAATAAATGTTGATGTTGAAAGAAATTACTAAAAATGAGACTTGCATTTTTCCGATACCAGTGTGTATTGAACTAGACTGATTATTCCTGTATGTACCTTGTTAAAAATTTAAACCGCACAAAAATTACTGAGCTTGAGAAACTTGACAATTTAATTAACCGGGAGGAAGGGAAGGATACCCTAATGAGTATGAAAAAATACTTAGAAAATGTTTCATGAAAAATTTAAGTTCACACTACGAGAAAGTATAATGAAAGCAGTCTATTGTAAATAAGTGGGACTTAACTACAAATAAATGAACATGATTACTTAGTAAATAAATTCTCCAATAAAAAATTACAAACACAATACATTATTTCTATATAGGTGGATGATAGCTTGAACTGGTGATATATTTAATTGATAAATATATAAGCTTTCTAATTTTTAAAAACAATAATTAGTAAGAAAAGGTCAGATACCTAACATATGCTACTGCTGTAGTGACATATTACTCCTTAAAAAAACGAGTCTTGTAAATAATATATTTTGCTACGAAATTTAACAAAATAAATTTAATTTCAAATTATAGGGAAAGCTTCTAAATGCAAGAGCAACTAATAAATATTTTATAAAAAATGAACGCAACTTTATTTTCATGGAGTTTCACATTTTATTCTCCAGTTAAAAAAGCAGTATTTTTCAGATCTAATATATACTTATGAGAAAAACCAAATGACAGGTATCTAATCTCTCAAGCATCAAATTAATTGAAAGATTACAAACATTAATAATATTTCGCACAAAACTACACAACATTTTAGAATGCCAATTACTGAGGCAATTCTGTCAAGCATGCAATTTAGAAATTTCAAAATTAATGAACAGTTTTTAGAAAAAATTGCTTTAATAGTTCCCATATCAGCGAGTCTTTAATATTTTGGATTTTGAGACAGTGCTAAGCATGACTTACTGTTACACTGATGAATAATTTGATAAAATTTTATTCATATTTGTCAATAATTTAATGCTACATAATTTTTAATTTGATAAGCATAACTTAAATTGCCAGTCTAACTATTCAAAACTAGAAAGAATCAAAGTATAATTTAAAAACTTTTTCAATATGCACGAAAATTTATGCAAGCTTCCAGCATGCAAAAGATTTTTTTCAAACACTTAGCATCATCATTCATAAGCCATCCATCACCTTTTTATTTGAATTGCATTTGATAACAGTAAATTGTTTAAGCAAAAGCTTCCCCACATACACACCAGAAACACTTAAAATACTGCTAATTAGGGGGGGGGAAATATGCTTCTGCTGTTTCCTTTTTAGGATGGAACTGGATCAACTTTCCACTTCTGACACAAAATTAAATAACCAAATGTAACATTTACATTCAACTTCTCTGTTCTAGCTATATCATTTTCTAATACATATCTGACTGTTACACCACAATTTCTTTTATTATAATATTGCTGGTTTAATAAAACCTTGAAAATCTGAGAAGTTAAACAATCCTGAATTCGTTCCGAACAGAAAAAACTGAGCTTAAGTTTCAGCTAAAATCATATTTTCCAGTACTATACTTCATAATTTTTTTTTATTTCATATAAATGGAAAGACAGTACTGAATTAAAAGTAATAAATCAATACCTATTAAACTCCCTTACAATGTATAGAAAGTACTTTTGTCTAAAGTAAATAATTCTGCGTTCCCATAATGAACTAATCAATAATTTAAATTATGGAAAAGAATAAAATTGTGATAATGTTTCCATTTCTGACAACACTCTATTGTTTGCACCGTGTGAGAGATTATATAACTCATTTTTTATTTTCTGTAAATTCTTGTGTAATTTTTTTTAAAACTTTGAAGTAGACTTTTTGTTAAATCTCTATAATCTTCCTAAGCACTGACTAAATTGGCACCATACTTAAAACAATTCCTCTTATCCAAATAAAATTTTAATTATGGCAAAGAATAAAATTGTGATAATGTTTCCATTTCTGACAACATTCTATTGTTTGCACTGTGAGAGATTATATTACTCATTTTTTATTTTCTGTAAATTCTTGTGTAATTTTTTTTTTTAAAGTTTTTAAGTATACTTTTTGTTAAATATCTATAATCTTCCTAAGCACTGACTAAATTGGCACCGTAATTAAAACAATTCCTCTTAAGTACATCCAAATAACTAGAGAATCAAAATGTTAAGGTTTACAATTTCATTTCGTGTAAAACTGCATGCAAACTTTTACTTGACCACTAAATAAACATTATTTACTATGGTGAAAATATAACTGAAAAAATATTTTTCAAGAGAATAATGATGACTAATTTGTTTTTGATGAAATATTTAGAAAGTGATTGACTGCATCATTAAGTTAGGATTCTAATGATAGTAAAATTTTACCAGTGGAAGAGGGTTGTATTATAAAGAAACTCTGATGAAAACTAGAGACTGTTTACATGTAATAAAAATTTACCATTCAGAAATTGCTAACAAATTTTTGAAGATCATGTTCCCAAACAATTTAATTTTTCTTCTGCATTCAAGTCACATGCCCATATTTAAGACATTCTCTGTAACACAGTCATACAATAATCATAACAAAACAATTATTAAAAAATTTTGTATTTTAAATTTTACTTTCAAATAAATCATAAATTACACAGCTATAAAAAGCGCAAGAGCATCTGAGTCACCGTAAGCTTAAGCGAAGAAAAATTCAACTGCCACAAGTTAAAATGGATAAAGAATGAGTTATTTCCCTTCACAGTATAATAAAGTTGCTCTTGCCAACATAAGTGAGGAAAAATTACCTCACAGCTATCACACAAGCTCTTTTATCTAGTTATAAATGCAAGAAATGGAATGTTAAGAATTCATGCTAGAGCCAATTTTATTCATTATATTACTGAAAGTATAGATGATGCAAAAATTTTAGATCACCAATGAATGAAGTTGAAATTTTTTAATTTTCATATACAAAACAAAAGAAAGACACACAATCAACATTTTACACAACAGAATTTATTCCAAAAGAGAAAATTGCGCTAAAAGTATATTCTTATAAACGAACTGGAAAAAAGTACACACTTTTTTCATAATATAACATCAAATCCCTGAAGACTTATATATTAGAAAGTACATCAAATCTTTCAAGAAACATAATTCATTCAACAAATATATGAGTTTCCTTGTTCACAGATAACTGGAACAAAAATGTTAAAAAGTCTTAAATTAGGATACTCTATCTACAACTAAATCTAATTTACTCTGAGGCAGATTCCATATTAAGAAATAAAAGAATATACAGGAAGAAAATACAAAATTGAGAATCATAATTTTAAGGCAGATGAGAAAACTCACTTCTTACATAGGAACCAAATATAAGGAAAATAATATTTATATTGCACATATCAAAGCTTTATGCTAGAAACTCATTTACATGGTTGAATACTTCTAAAGACAGATATCACATATATTTCTTATATATAAGTCAGGTTAATAAGGTAGCGAGAACAATGACATTATTTTTTAACAGGAACATAATTTTATAAATAAAAATATGTCAGCATTTCTCTAACACATTAAAGAAATAGCTTGATAAAAGGTCACATTTTTTGCGAAATTATGTACAATATATCAATAAGTTCAGAAATTATATTTCAATCACATAAAATAACATTAAGATAAGGCTTTGTTGAATATAAAAAATAATCTCCCTTTAATATCACAGAACTTATTATTTGTTAGTAAAATATCAGCAAAACTGATCTTCTAAAATGCAAATTTATTTCCATAATCACCATTATTTTTCTTTCAGTGCATAGCAGATAAAAATGTCATAAATATTACTTATATTCAAACTTTCACTTGAGCATAGCTTTTACAACAAATCATACACTACATTACATACTTCGTATTTTTAGATGTACAAAATAAAATGTAATTTCTACAGCTTGAAAGATTTACATTTGATGATGGAAAAGTAGTATAACTGCTCAAAAGGACAATTATACTAAATACAAATAGTTTCTTTAATTGTTAACTCGCATGTAAACATAAACACTTTCTTCATGAAATACACTTTAAAATTAAACTAAATGACTAGAATTATTGCACTTAAGTTCCTGAAAAAGACATAGGTAGTCAATTTTCTTTTAAATTATGAGAAAATGAAAGATAAATTCAAACGTTTTCAACAAAACTGGAAATATATATAGTAACTCATTATTCCATTCATACAAGAAATCAGTGACTAAGAAAGACACAAAAATAGTGAAAAATTAGTGCTACCATAAAATACATATCACTAAGAAGATATAAGCTCAATATGTTCAATTATTATACAATTTTATTCATATGTAATAAATATTTGGCACATATACATTCTTTATATAGTCACTGATCTGAAAATAATCTTTAATCACAGAATATAATTGCAAAAAGGCACTCATTTATTTCAGTAAAAATAAATTTAGCATAAATCTAGCTTTAAATTAGGACTATACTTAGATTTATGTTCTTCAAATAATGCTGTTAAGCTATCAATGTAATGCTGATGCAGCTTAGAAACTTCTTCCTCTGTTGGCTCAGGATTTCTTTCAACATCTATAGGTTTTCCAACTATAACAACACAAATATGTAAAGTTAAGCTCTGTTCACTTCATATACAAGATAAAAAAATACACAGGAAAAACTGATGATATAAATACCACTGGAAATATATTGTTAATTTACAGTAAAGTGAAATAAAAGAATGAGCTTCACAAAACTTTCATACACACCCTATTTCTAAATAATTTCTAACACACAAAGGTCTTTCACATATAGGATGATGCATTCACTAAGATCATTGACTTTGGAAAAGTCAGGAAAGGGTGGAAATTGTTCCATTTAAGACAAGTGAAAGTTTCAGACCCATCTACAATTCAGTATACCTATAATGGCAATTTCTAACATCTTTGTTATATAATAAACCGATTTCCAATAAAAAGTTTTGAAAGTAAATTTATTTCATTTCTGTATGCTCACAGAGTTCGCAATCAGTATTCTGCCCTCACCCTAGCCAGGGCTTAATGCCTCAACTGCTGCAGAAGACGTACAAGATTCACACCCCAGTGTCACCGTTTTTTACACAGGTGTGCATAGTTATGCAATGTATTAAGGGGAAAATAAGTGCAAGTTTTGCTGTCTAAAAACTGTTTACTTTCACAAACTAAAGAATAAAAGAAAAAAAAAATGAAAATACAAAGTTTAATGTTTAGAGCTCAAGTTTAATAAAGAAGATGTAAGTATAATAAAAAAGATCCCCCAAAATGGAGTTCTCATCAATTTATTGTTAGTTCAGTACAGTGTAATATCAGATTTCAGTGTTATACCATGTAAAATCAGTATACCTAAAAAAACATATATTTTTTCTGAATCGGTTGGATGCCATAGGCAAGTTTTTCGCATCAAGGTCGAGCATCTTACAGAGAATAGTCGCAATTCTCTTCATCTGACGTTGTCGTGAACATCATTGTTAGTTTGAGTGAAAATAATGAGCGGTTTGTTAAAAATTAGGTTAGATGAAAGACCTTCTAATACTATTTAGCACAGTGTAATAGATTAATTTTACAATATGCAACATTGACACAATAAACGTTACAACGGAATTTGACCATCTACCTTTTTGAAGAACAATCTCTCTCATTGCCATTCCGTAACAGAGAAACTTGCCTCTCATGGAGTTTGATCATGACTCAACATTCTCCCCACCTTGAGTTCGGGGATACAAACTCAAAACAGTAGCATAATGGTAATACATACATACAATTTGAGATAAAAAAAACGTATAAATAACAATAGAAATATTTCAATCAATATTTTAGAGTTCAAATATAGAAAGTTCAAAAGTCTGTTTAGAAGTTTATAAATGCAGTCTTTTAACTGGTTTTATTTTTCGTTCTAAGCGAGACACGTGAACAGTTTCATTAGAGTCAGTATTAAGCTCAGGATTTTCAGCTACCACTTCTGGAACCTTCTGAAGTTCCGATACGACTTGCTCGTAGTTTGGTGTCAATTCCAAAGGGTACAGTCATTGGATTGGTCTTAATATGTTTCCCTTTTCAGTTCGCAGTTTCAAAAGTCTGATCATTCCATCTTTTGCTGGAAAGAGTTTCAGTACTCCCCCAAGCAGCCAATGCAAATAATAGTATTTCAGCAGAGTGTATATATATATACCAGGGACAGTTAACGCATCGGCTGATCAAGGCATAAATATATGCCCTCGGCAGTTAAGGGGTATAATTTCTAAAATCAGAAGTGGTCTGGGGAAGGTAGTTGGGAAGAAGGGAAAAATTGAATAACAAAAAATTAAAATAATTAAGTAATTAAATCAAAATTCAAATAAAATATAAAAACGTAAATAAAAATTTAATATACACTGCTGGCCATTAAAATTGCAACACCAGAAAGGGGTGATCTGATGAACGTCAAAATCACATGAAAGAAAGAAGAGGTTGGGATATGCAAATGATTAGTATTTCAGTGCATTTAGACTCCACAGGAGGGAGAAACAACATCTGAAGCACTGCATAAAAGAAAAGTTGTGTAGTGGATTTCTCATTCGGAAAGCGCTTTGTAAGGTCAGAGTTTGCTCAGGATATTATGTTATGCCTCGAATAAGAAGAAATGCTTACCAGCAGGTGTCAGAATTCGATAGAGGCAGAATCGTTGCCTATCAACAGTGTGGATTAATTTCATGATATCACCCGTCGCACTGGTCAACATCCAACAGTCATGCGAATATGAAATCAATGGGTTACTGAATGGCATACAGGATCTCAATGCTCTAGAGGACAGACATATTGAGGTCAGCCCTGAAAAACCGTATCACCATATCATGAACCATCAGTCAGGGAAATGGGCATATTTGCAGCAACCATAATATCCAATCGTACAGTGTTATAAGCCGATAGATGGCATTGTAGAAAAGCTGCCAGGAGGGGGCGCATGACGGCAATCGAGAATCAGGAAGCAAGAGAATGTGATTAAGGTTAAGAATGTTCCGTAATGATATGTATATATTTAGTGTAATAATAAAGAATTTATAAAATGCAAGAGTTATCCCGATTGAATGAAAAGTGAAAGCCCAACTTACCCTTAGCCATCCTGCGATTATTAACAGAGATTAAAGCTAACAAGAGTGTCGACGTTTGCAGCAGAGTAGACTATCAGCATATATATATATAGAGAGAGACGGCAATTCTAGTGCACCAGAAGACAAAGCAGGATACAACAGTGGCACATCGCCAACTTTTCAGATGATTCCCGGTTCTGCATGCAATATTTTGATGGCCGTATACGTGCCTGGAGGCTCCAAGGAGGCCACACGTTATCTGCTTGCACTTGATGTCAGTATAGAGGCCCTTCACTTGGTGTGATAATTTTGGCAGCCATTGGGTACACGACACGCACATCTCTAGTTTGGATTAACGGTATTTGAATGCAGATCGGTACATTTCTGAAAACTTACATCCAGTGGTTTTGCCCTACCTTCGAAGCCTGCCAAATGCCATCTTCCAACAAGATAATGCAAGACCACATTTAGCAAGTTGTGTTCTGACCTTCCTCGATACACAGGGTATTCGATTGCTGCCTTGGCCTACATGGTTTCCAGATCTGTCACCCATTGAAAACATCTGGTTATAGGTTGCTGAGAGACTGGCTTATCAATCCCTCTCCAGCTAATATGGTTGATGAAGTGTAATCTAGACTTAAAGCAGCATGGAATGAGTTGCCCATTTCTGTCATCCAAGCACAGTTCAACTCCATGCCTAACCAGTTAAGAGTCGTTTTAGTTGCCTGGGCTGGCAGCTGTTTCTGGCAATTTCGCACCCCAGTAAGCCCCCAAATGCTCACAAATTTAATAATTTTGTCTTCATGTCCTACTGTTTACACACAATAAATACCCTTTTTTGTAATTGCTTTCAGTCATGGTGTTGCAACTGCAATAGCCAGCAGTGTATTAATAGGGGGACCAGAAAGTAATTTCGTTTCTGCGCATGTCGACAACAACATGCTAAGGGCAGAAGTGGAAGCAAATCCATGTCAAATACTCTTAACCAACCTTGGTCGACCATCCAAGAACATTTAAAGCAGAATGGAAAAAAAAGCAAAGCAGGTGTTTTAAGTTCCCCATAATTTGTCCGAAAAGAACAAAGCCAACCTATCCATCACATGCAACGGATTGCTTCAATGTCACCACACAAGAACTTTTTTTTTATCGTTTGATTAGTGGAGACAAAAAATAAGTCCTATATGATAATCCAAAACTCAAAAGGCAGTTTTAATAGGTGTTACAGAGGGTTTACATCCCAAAAAGGCCCTTTTGGGTGTTTGATGGAGTATTCGCGGAATTGTTCATTTTGAATTGCTGAAACCTGGACAAACTGTTAATGCAGACCTTTATTGTGAACAATTGGATGGAGTGAACCAATCTTTAATCGAAAAATATCAATTGTCAACAGAAAAGGCGTCATTCTGCAACACAACATATCAAGATGAACACTGGAAAAAATTAATGAATTGGGATGGAAGGTACTGCCATACTCACCCACCATACTTGGCCGATATCGCAGCATTGGATTTCCATTTATTCGGTTTCTACAACATTTTCTTAGTGGCAAAAAATTTGAAAATTTGGATGATGTCCAAAATGTCCTCTCGAGATATTTTACTCAAAAACCAATTGATTTTTATTGGTCCGGGATTGAAATTCTGCACATTAGATGGCAAAAGATTGTTGATAATGGGGGTGATTATATTATTGATAAAAAATAAAAACTTGTTAAAAATGTATTCATTTGAATTTAATGTAAGAAAGTGGCATTACTTTCCGGTCCCCCTATTATTAAATCCATGAAAAATAGTAAAATAAAATATCAGACCTTGATGTAGTTATTTGGGTCTTATTTTGAGGATTTTATTCAAAATCTAAGAAATCGAATCCACCGGCTGAATTCAAGTCTTGAATATATGGTACAATATACTATTTCAAGGGATGAGAGAAACAAAGTTATTCTTTTTCAAGCATACCAATGGAAAAAAGTAAAATGATTAAAGCGTCACTGATGAAAATAGAATGCTAGAAACAATATGACAGTAAGGATAGAAATTTTGATCGAGAAGTGTAGCTTCAAAAATAAAGAGATAAAAGTTCAACACTTTCTGATTGTGATACCCTACTGATATAATTCTAGCTATCAAATAGAATGCAAGTGGGCAAAAACACTTCCTCTGAATTTGATCTGATAACAACATGAAAACAAATATTAAGTCTGCACCAGTGAGGAATGTTGTCCCTTATATTTGGTTACACAGTTCTAAAGTCTGCAGGAGGTCACAATGCTGTACATACACAGCCAAGGTAATCACTTTTAACCATCTTTCATAAATTCATTGCACTATCTGGAGAATAAGCCTTTGACATGTGGATCAGGGCTTTTCTTTCCTTGAAAATCTCAACCTCCATCAAAGTGCTTGTTTCTCAGAGAAAAACAAGCATGCATCAATATGCTGAAATCAAATTTTAAGACATATTTATTATTAAAATAATTGTCTGCTGAAGCTGTGCTTCACTT